TTTCAAGACAGGGTCTCACTGAGTTGCTTAGGGCCTCACTAAATTGCTGAGGCTGGCCTTAAACTGACGATCCTCCTGCCTCAGCCTCTCAAGCCACTGGGATTACAGGCATGTGCCACCTTGCCTGGCTCATTGCTTCCATTTTAAAGTACTCACAATCCATCTTTGTGTGTGTGTGTATGTGTGTACTGGGAATTAAACCCAGGGGCAGCTTACCACTGAGCTACATCTATAGCCATTTTTATTTTTTATTTTGAGACAGGGTCTGGCAAAGTTGCTGAGGCTGGCCTGGAACTTGAGATCCTCCTGCCTCAGCCTCCCCAGTTGCTGGGAATAGTCCATTCTTTGATACTACTACTAGATCCTGGGCTGATCCATTTGTGATGTGTAGATTCTACCTACTTCCTGGCAGCCTGGAGGTAGCTTGCTCGTTTCCAGATGTGGAACACCTGTCTTCAGGGCTGCTCAGAGGTCACCAGCATTCACTCAGGGATCTCCTCTGTGACCTTTAGCACCTTATGAAATAACTCTTCCAACAAGGAGGCTGCACCCGGAGGGTGGGGAGGACTTGCATGAAACATGCCCAGCAGAGGAGGTGGTGAGTGCTGGGGCCAGACAAGGACAGACAGTGGGTGCTGTTGACAGCAGAGGCAGAAGTGGGAGGCCCTGGGCTCTGGGGAGCAAGAAGGCCACAGAGCAGAGCAGGGCGGGCTAGAGGGTGGGAGGAGAGGCCTGAACCGGCCACAGTGGCCGGCATGGAGCACCGTGGGGACTCCTGACCCCCCTCCCCCCGCTGGCCTGGCTGTGTGGGTCCTAGAAATGCCACAGCCCCCAGTGGCCAATTTCCAGAGGCCCACGGCTGCATTTCTTGGTTCTCGACAGTGGCGGGTTTATGTTCCTGGGGGTGGGTGTACGAAGAGGTGGATAGTGAGGAAGGCTGTTTGCTTATGACTAGTTTAGTTTGAAAATTATGGTGAGATGTGTGGAACGGATTCTCCGTTTTAACCGTTTGAGTGCACAGCTCAGGAGTGTTAAGTGCGTTCCCACTGTGAGGCCAGCGTCACTGCCCACTGTCCACTGTCCGCTCTTCCTCAGCCCATGCTGAACCTCTCCCATCATCACACAGGAGCCCCCAGCTCGGCCCCCATACGGGTTCCTCAGTAGTGGACCCCCCGTGCGTGTCCTCTTGTGCTGGCTGACTTCATTCAGCTTTATGTCCCTGAGGGTCCTCCCTGTGGTGGCATGTGCCGGGGTGTCCTTTCCGTGGGTCATTCCCACCCTTTGGCTGTGGAGACCTGATTGGCTCTTTAAAGCAGGGCATTCAGACCTGAGCAGCAAGAGGCCTCTTGCTATCAAAAATATGAAGGCCCTCAAGGGAGGGGAGCCAGGGGGTCTGCGGGGAGCCCCGTGAGGTCAGGTGTGTGGAGAAGGGACAGGGCTGGGCTGGGCAGGGGCGGAGGAGGCTGAGCTGAGCTGTCTGGAGATGCCTCCCCACCCCTCACCTCATGAGGCTGGTCCCTAGAGGGGGCTGGGGACTGGTGGGACAGCCAGCAGAGGTTCTGTGAAAGGACAGTCGATCACACAGACGTGATCATTTAGACCTGGCGAGTGACCCCGAGGGCAAAGCCAGAAATCTAAGCCAGGACCAGGCCCAATTCACGCTGGGGGAGCTGGAGCTTCTGTCCTGTGAGTGTAGAGGGTGCTGTGGGCACCTTGTGCCGCTCCCCCAGCGTGAGGCTCCCCCAAAGTGTGGCGCCCCAGAGTGAGGCTCCCCCGGTATGAGGCTCCCCCAGCATGAGGCGCCCATGGTGTCGTTGGTCTGAACCCGGGAAAGTCAAGTCAACGAGGCCTGTGTTCATCCTGGGGAAACGGGTGGCCTGGAGGAGATAAGAGACGTGACACTCATGTGTACCACCGAGTCCACTCTTAAGCCCTAAGGTGTCTTGCTCAAAGAGGTCCCTTCTGAGGAAGTGACCTGGACACTGAGTGGAAGATACTGGAGTCGTTTTTCAGTAAGCGAGGGCTGGGGATGAGGACACCTGCCTAGCAGGTAAGAGGCCGTGGGTTCCATCCCAGCAACACACACAAGAAGAAACCAACTCATAAATGAGGCCAAAGGATCAAGTGGCTGGGAGACTAACAAGTGTCCCTTCTTCCTGACCGTGCCTTGCTGCCACCCTGCAGGTATGATGCTGGGCGCGACGGCTTCATCGACCTGATGGAACTGAAGCTGATGATGGAGAAGCTGGGGGCCCCCCAGACCCACCTGGGCCTGAAAAGCATGATCAAGGAGGTGGACGAGGACTTCGACGGCAAGCTCAGTTTCCGGGAGGTATCTGCATCGTGTTGTTCCTGGGCCCTGGGGCGGGACCCCCAGTTTACAGCCCTCTGGGGTATAAACGGGTCTGCCTCGTGAGAGTGCTGTTTGGAAATTTAACCTGCAATGCTGCTTTCAAAACTATGCTCAAGGGGCGGGGTGTTGCTCAGTGGTAGAACCTGGGCTTAGAATGTCTGAGCCCTGGGTTCCCTCCCCAGCCCCCGCCTCCTCCACTTTAGGCAGGTGTTGAGCTGGTCAGGAAACAGACTGAAAATCACCTGACTTGTGTAAAGTGGTAAGAAATCTAGAAGGATGTTTCACCAAAATATCCGTAGTGGATATTTATAGGCACAAAGTTTTGGTGTGTTTTTATTAAATGAGGAATAGAGTGACCATTTCCCACCCTAGACAGACAGGAGCTGCATACTCTGTACTGTGGGCACTGTGTCTCCTGACATGCAGCTAAACCCTGGAAATCTCCAGAGTGTCTTTTGCATGCTAATGAGATGGCAGCAGGCTACCCCTAGGTAGATCCAGGATGGGGCTGGTCACAGGAAGCACCAAGAGCAACCTCTTGGGAAAGCAGACCATCTGAAGGTTAAATGATCACCATCGGCCAGGGGTTGAATCCGTCGTGTCTATGTATAGAATTTCCATGAGACTGAAAAGGCCTGAGTTGGGGGGTTCTGAGTAACGAGAGGAAACCTGAGGGGCGGTGAGGGGCCAGAGGCTGTCCCTGGGACTGCCATCTTAAGGTGAAGGAGGCAGTCTTGGGGACTGAGCCCTTGACTGGGGCTCTGATGCCTTCGCAGGCAGGTAGTGTTGGGACTGAATCAGATTCGAGGTCGCCCAGCCGGTGTCTGCTGGCGGCTCTGCCCCTAGAGAATCGCTGGCTTGCTGGTGCAAGGAGACCCCACGTACTGGGGTCCGAAGTGCTGTGTGAGGAGAGGGGGAAAGTCACGCTGGCTCTGTACCCCGTGTCACTAAAGTCCATCACAGAAAGCGTGAGCTGGCAGAACCCTCGAGATGGCCTCAGCCAGCTCTCTCATGTCAGATGGAAGGAAGGCCCAGCCCGGGGTCAGGCCCCTGCGCAGGGCTGAGTGGGGCTGCCCAGCCTGCCCTTGGCACCCGTGGCTGGTCTTCACAGCCCTGTGGGGTATACTCATGCCCCCTGCTGGGCATGGGCTCTCTCGACCCGGGTTCCCCTGGGGTACAGAGGTAGAAGCGTTGCCTTGGTGAAGCTTGAGGAGACGCTGGGGAAAGAGGCTCTGCTTTGGTCCCCAAAATGGTGACGTCTGGAACAACACATGGGGGGCACGCTTAGGGTCTGTGCAGCCACCAGCTGAACTAAGACCCAACTTGGGGGTCCCATTTTGCCCACCTCTGTTCCTCTTGAGTCTAAGACACCTGGCTCGCCTTGGACGAGCTGCGGTTTGGGCCACTTCCCGAGGCTGTGGACATCCGAGGCCTGGAAACCTCCAGAGGGCCTGTCAGCTCTCCGCCCCTCCCAGAGCTCCAGTGGCACTGGCTTTAATCCTTGTCAGTTCCGGGCCCTGCTGTGGTCCCGTGGGTGGCCACTGTACCTGCAGTAGGGGATTTGAAAGTGCAAGGACAGGCCAGCCCTCAGGCCTCATTGCCTGGCCTCCTGCTGAGTCATTTCACCACTGGTCTCTGCCTGGGCTGGGGACCGCTGGAGCCACACTGTGCGCAGTGAGAGGAGCCCAGACTGTGGCCCCCTCTTGGCCTGCCACATGGCGCTGGGTCACTTGAGCAAGTCATCGTCGTTCTTCTCGTACCTGGGATTGAACCCAGGGGTACTTCACCATGGAGACCCGCCCCCAGGCTCTTTAGTTTTTATTTTGAGACAGGGTCTCACTAAGTTGCCCTGGCTGTCCTTGAACTTGTGATCTTCCTGCCTCATCCTCCCAGTGGCTGGGATTACCAGGCGGGCGCCACCGTGCTGGCCAAGGTCTTTTATGTTTGAGCCTCGGTGACAAGAACTGATTTTCCTTCTGTGTCATCCACCAGCCAGGAAGTGAAGCCTCACCAGAAACTGCATTCCCATCACCCCGTGGTGGATTTCCGGCCTCCAGCACTGCAGGAAAATAAACTTCTACTGCTTATGACACCCAGTCTGTGGTGTTTTGTTAGAGCAGCCCAAGCAGATGAAAATGGGGTCCCTGCTGCCCTAGCGGGGCTGGGTGTCTCACCTGCCCAGTCATGGTTGATGGAGTCATGACGGGTCTCTGGCCACCCTGGTCCAGGCAAATTCTCTCTCCTCTCCTTGACTCTGCAGGTGGCTGCTCCCACTCAAAGTAGGGTGGCCGCGGCCTGCCTCGTGGACCACACAGGCCCGATGGAGAGGGGATGTCGTCCCTGGTCAGAGTTGTGACGCTCTCAGGCCTCCTCCGGGCCGGTACCTGCTGCCCCTGGATTCCTGAGGCATCCCCATGTAACAAACACCTCTTTTTGCTTCAGCCAACAAGTTTATTTCTGTCAGTTCAACCTCAGAGCTCTGGCTAACACAGGGGTAGCCTCTGTGCCACCTGTCAGAGCCTCGAGGGTGAACAGTCCCCCCATCTCCCCAGGCGTCAGGCTGTGGCTGGGGGCCTCGGGCTTCGCGAGCTCTCTCTGGCTCTTTGTTCTGCAGCTCCCGCCTCCGCCTCCTCCAGTCACAGTCAGGACGTTTTCCAGTTCTTGTACACCATGCCAGTCTCTGTGGACTATAAATAGGGAGACAGACGAGGCTGGGCGGTTGGAGAGATGGTCATTCAGGGGCAGTGAGTGACGGTGATAAAGTCAAATGGGAACGTCTGGCGCGCTTCATGGAAGGCTGACCTTTTCAGGTTGAACTGGATTCTTTTTTTTTTTTTTTCTTATTTGGGGTCAGGAGACCCTGGAGTATGATGGGCCACTGTGGGTAATCTGCTGAGATGGCAGAGCCAGGGCCCACGAGCTGGATCCACCCCAGACCTGAGGCTCAGAGGAAATAGCTTTAGGGAAAATAGCCGTGAGGAATTCTTTAATGTTTCCAGTTCACAGAGCCCTCCAGAGAACACAGATTCTGTTGCCTGTTCTTCAGATGTGAGAAAACTGAGTCTTGGGGACAGAAGGAAACCCTGAGGTCACTTGGATTGGTGCTGAGCTCAGGGCGCTGCTCCCTCTTTTCTGAGCTGCTTCATGGGGCAGCTGATATTCGGAGAGCTATCTGCTTATGGAGCTACAGGGGAGAGGGTTCTGTAAACAAAATGATTTAGGTCATAATTTTAGTCAAATTTCTGATGCTATAAGAAAATACCTGAGGCTAGTAATCTAGAAAGAAAAAAAGGTTTATTTTGACCTATAGATCTAGAAGTCCAGGAGCATAGTGCTGGCATCTGCCAACTTCGGGTGCCACTGAAATTCATGGTCGAAATCACAAGGCCAGGCCATGAGTGGACAAGAAATGGCATGGTGAGAGAGAAAGTAAGAGAGCAGAGGAAGCCAAATCCACTCTATTCCCGCCCAGTCCCAGCAGAAAGGCCTTCATCCCGCTTGATGACCTAATCACCTCTTAAAGGCCCACTGCCTCTCAACACTGTTCTAGTGGTGGCTAGTGGGGACAGACTATGGCTGCAGGGTACAGAAGGGCTGGCATTTTACTCCTGCCCACAGCTCACGTTGGCAAACACTGAAGTCTTTTTTGCTTCAATCTCTTCCCAGAGAGAACTTGGTCATTGCTGTCCCCGCCCTTTTGGCCTTGATCCTATTCCTGGGGGCCTGGCCTCCTTGAACAGGCTTGTTTTCTTTGGGCCATGTTCTGGCCCGATCCTCTGCAGCAGACTGAGTCTTTGCCGTCCTCTAGTGAGAGGGTTAGAAGCTGCAGGTGGATGGACGTGGCCTTTCCGTCCATCCAAGCTCCTGCTCATGCCTCAGCGAAGCTCCAAGTTCCTGGGCATCGATTAGTACTGCGGGGGGGGGGGGGTCCTCAGTGGACTGAGGCCCTGGAATGAGGAACCTGAGAAGGTTTGTTTTCAGAGGGGGCCTCAGTATGTTGCCTCAGCCTCCCGAGTGGCCGGGGTGACAGGTGTGTGTCACTGCACCCAGATCAGAGGTCTGTGAGCGAGGCGTTTGGGGCTGTGAGGGTGGGTGCAAGAGCCTTGGGGTAGAGCCAAGTTGGGCTTTGGAAAGCCTGTCCCACTTATTGGATTTGTCACTGCTTCAGTGATGTCCTTTAACACAGGAAAAATGTGTGAAAAAAGACCTGGAAACCTGAAATTTCCTTGTAGACACATATATTTTAGGTCTCATCTGAAAACCTGGAGAAATCCTCTTTTGATGATATGGAGTCTATCAGTTTATACCCAAATGGAAAATAAATAATAGACATTGCGTGGTAGTTGTTTGACAGGTAGATTTATAAAAATTATTTAAAAAGAATCTAAAGTCAGGCATGGTCGTGCATACCTGTAATCCCAGTGGCTCAGGAGGCTGAGGCAGGAGGACTGAAAGTTCAAAGCCAGCCTCAGCCACTTAGTGAGGCTTTTAGCAACTTAGCAAGACCCTATATCTAAATAAAATATATGGAAAAAAAGGGGAGGTGGGGATGTGGCTAAGTGGTTAAGCTCCTCTGCGTTCAATCTACAAAATCACCTCAGGAGAGAATAGGAAAGTGGGGGGCCTGCCATTGATGTCTGGTCAATTTATTTATTTAATAAATGATGTTGTTGAGGCCTTAGGACAAGTTGCATTCAAAGATTAATTCTTTCAGGTCACGTTTTGAATCTGGAGGAAGTAGAAGGATTATTCAATAAATGATGTGGGGATTACTAAGTAACCATTTGGAAGAAAATAAGGTTAATAATTACCCTCACAGGATAGATGGAAGAAATTTCAGAGATTAATTATTTACACTTTTTTTTAAAGAAGCCATAAAAGTAGTGGACAAAAACATAGGTGATTGTTCATATAACCTTGGTGGCAAGAAAGGTTTTTCTGAACATAACTCTGGTGAGAGAAAGAAAAAGATTTGAAAGAGTTTATTTAAAACTTCTGAAAGTCAAAACTCACTGTACGCACAGTTAAAGGGCAAGTGACAGAGCTAAAGTTTTAGCAGGTCTTGTGAAGATCTCTTAGCCAACAGAAAGATAAGCAATCTGATGGAAATGTAGAATACACGCTGGGCATGGTGGCACATGCCTGTGATCCCAGCAACTCAGGAGGGTGAGGCAGGAGGATCACAAGTTCGAGGCCAGCCTCAGCAATTTAGTGAGGCCCTAAGCAACTTAGTGAGACCCTGTCTCAAAATAAAAAAATAACATAAAAAGGGCTGGTAATGTGGTTCACTGGTTAAGCACGCCTGAGTTCAATCCCCAGTACCAAAAAAAAAAAAAAAAGAAAGAAAGAAAGAAAATAAAAAGTGGAACACACAAGTAAAACAGAAGTAGTTAATGGGCTGGGGTTGTGGCTCAGTGGTAGAGCGCTCACCTAGCATGTGCGAGGCCCTGGGTTCGATCCTCAGCACCACATATAAACAAAAGTACTGTGTGCAACTACAACTGAAAAACAAAATAAACATTTTTAAAAAATACTTTTAAAAAAGTAGTTAAGATATATCAAAAATATTATTTTGTTTCAAAATAATATATATAGATCTATTTGATTTTCCTTTTGTAGCTATAAGCTAGGATGTTGCCAATTGTATTGATAATGCTAAAACTATTTTGTGAGTTTCTGAGGGATAAATTCCCAGCCATGGCATTGGTGTTTGGGCAAATGAACAGCATTTTATTTGATTATTTTTTTGTGTGTGATTTTGTGTTGGGGATGGAACCCAGATCCTTGTTCATGCTGAGCATGTGCTCTACCCCTGGGCTGTGCTCCAGCCCCCAGCATTTTATTTTTGGCATATAGTTTTGGGTGCTGGCCACGGAGCCCAGGCCCTAGCACATGCTGGGCACGCCCTTTACCCCTGAGCTTCACCCAGCGCCCTGTCTTTTCTTTGGCCATCTGATAAGGAACAAACCAATTCATCACACACCACATAAACGCCCTTTTCCAGTGCTTGGCAAGAAGGGGTTCTCTGGGTCTCTCAGGGATGCCGAGGTACAGCGGCTCCTGTCCTTCTGTCTCCTCCTGCAGTTCCTGCTCATTTTCCACAAGGCCGCGGCGGGAGAGCTGCAGGAAGACAGCGGGCTGCTGGCGCTGGCCAAGCTCTCAGAGATCGATGTGGCCCTGGAGGGTGTCAGGGGTGCCAAGGACTTCTTTGAAGCCAAGGTACGTTCCTGTTCTTCTCCGTGGAGCCAGCGCTCCCTCCTTTACCCTCTCTGAGGGACAGGCGCTCCCTTGTCCAGTGCCTCGCTCAGGGAAATAACAGCGTGTCCTTGTGCCATTGAAAAGTCAACACAAAACAGAAAACAACCAAAGAGTAAATACGCTGGGTCCTGGTCAGGTTCAACAGACCCCCTGGGGCAGTGCTCCCGGTCAGCGCTCCATAGACACCCGGCAAAGATCTCCACCCAGCCCTGGATGAGTTGGTGCTAAACACATGGGTGGTGGGGTGCGGGCGTGCACAGGGTGGCTTGTCTTGAACGGGTTTTTGCGCATCACAGTGGTCCAGACTTGGGGAGGAATGCCCAGGGGTGGCCCCACAGCCCTTCCGGGTGCTTCCTTCCATTCACAAGTTCACGCTGTCCTTGGGCATTGATGTGCCTCTCCACACGAGGCTGGCCTCTGCCCTCTTACCTTCATCTCTGCAGAGCACTCCTGCAGAAACAGACGGGAGAGTCCTGCACATCCGAGCTGAGCAGACCCCGGGTGCCGGGGGAAGGATGCAGCTCTGCAGCCGTGCTGCCCAGGTGCAGATCCTGCCTCCTCTACTGGTTGCCTCTCTGTGCCTCGGTTTCTTTATCTGTACAATGGGGCTGAGGCTGACAAGAGCATTCCTGAGGATTAGATGAGCTCACTCATGAAGTGCTGGGCAAGTGGGCTCACTGAGAACTCCCTGGGTGATCTGAGCTGTGGGGAATCCCTGTCACTCCAGGCAGGAAATAGCTTCTGGGATCTTATCTAGGGACAAAGTGTCCTTGGTCACATATCCTAGTCTGCTTAGACCCTTTAGCAGGACTCTGTTCTCATTATTGTTGTTGTTGTTGTTATTATTATTATATTATTCAGCGCTGGGAGATATCTTAGGCTTTGCACATGCAAGGCAAATGTTCTATCACTGAGCTACATCCCCATCTCTCTTTAAATTTTATTTTTGAGAAATAGTCTCGCTAAGTTGCCCAGGCTGAGCTCAAACTTGTGATCCTTCTGTCTCAGCCTCCCAATTTGCTAGGTGAAGTCTTATGCCCCTGCTCCCCATATATTTTCCCTTCTCCATGTCACTGCTTATAGATGGATTCTGGCGTCTTTCTGCCACCCCACAAGCTGAATTTCTAGTGCTTTCACTGGACAGGGTCAGGGACAGGCCAACCACTCCATGTGCCTTGAAGGCCAGAATCGTGTGTCCAGTCTTAAGTGGATTGACCCTTCCTTCCTGCCTTCCCTTTGATTCACTGGCCGGTCCCCAGCAAAGCCAGGCACTGCTTTAAGCTCTAAGATACAGCTCCCTCACGAGGACAAAGAGTTTGTCCTCCCCAGGGGGACTCCCCTGACTGAGCGAGTGCAGAGGAGGGAGGGTCCGTTCTGCTGGCTTGGGTCCTTCGTAATGGAGGCACACGTGCAGAGCTTTTCTGACGCCTTGGGCACAGTCCTGGGGTTGAGACACCAGGATGGTGCATGTGCTCAGGGCTGTAGGTAAAGTGTGCGTGAGTCCCAGGGAGCGTCTTAAGGGGCACTCAGGACCTGTTACAGCCCAGCTCCCACCCCCGCTCCAGTCCCTTCCACCCACTTCAAGTGCTGCCAGGCCCTTTTCACACCTGGACCTCACTGTCCCTCTGTCTGGAGCCCCACCCTAACATCTCTGCCTGGCAAACTCTGCTCCTTCCAGAACTGCCCTCAGGCTTGGCCCCTCCAGGCTGCTCTTCCTGACCCTCCAGGGCAGGCAAGTCCACCCTGCCCTGTGGGCCTCTAGTGCACATGGAGCTGTTAATGGTCAGCCGCAGTGAGGACCAACTGATCTTTCTGTAGAGCAGCTTGGGACTCGCCATTAACATTCTACCTCTGGGGTTTTATCTGTGAGCATTCATGCAAATGCACATAGAATGTCTGGACAAGAACTTCTGTTTGGCATTGTGGATGACAGAGGAAAATTGGAAACAACCAAAATTTCTGTTATCACAGAAAGAGTCCATTGTGGTGCTGCCACGTGCTTGCACAGTCATGAAAGAATGAGATGTGACAGCGTCTCTGTGTGGACAGATGTCCAAAATAAATTAAGCAAAGCAATGTATGCCATCCATGATTTTGTGAAATATTAAATACAACCTGGAAAATTACATGCAAAACTATTAGTCATGGTTATGTCAGAGGGACTTTTTTTTTATATTTCTGTAATGTTTTATAACGAGTGCATATTATTTTTATAAGCAGGAGAAAAGACGAAAAGCATAACAATAAATTTTTTCCACTCGTTATGCTTCTAAGTCTGCCTCCTCAGCCAGACTCAAAGGCAGCGTGGGCGTGTTATCTTTGTAATTACAGTGCCTGGTGCGTAATAGCTCTCAATAAACGTTGGCTTGAATGACGAATGGAGGGCATCACGGCTTGAAGTTGGGAGAGGCCATTTAGGAGCTGACACCGGTGACAGATGTTCTGAGATGAATGGGGATTCACCTTGTAATCAAGGAAGGGAAGGCATTCTGGTCGTGGGAACAGCAAATGTGAGGGTTCCAAGGCACGGAGGCAGGGAGTGTCATGGAGAAGTGTCCCAGAGTGGTGAGGACATGGGATGCGTGAGGGAGCAGGGCTGGTGATGTGTCTGGAGTGGAAGCCGAGATGAAAGAACTGGGCCAGCACCTCCCACCCTTTGGCCGCCTGTGACATATGTGGTAGATGACTGAGGCTGATGACTCCTGGGGGCAAGGGACACACTCAGGGAGCTCTGACCTGCCCCAGGCCGAGGGACACCTGCTGGGAAGGCCTTTCCCCAGCCTCTGAGCATCAGGACCACCTGTGGACCAGCTTCCGGGCCCAGGAAACGTGTCATTGATCAGCTGTGCAGGCTGGTCCCAGGCACGGCCAGGAGTGGACTGCACAGCTGCAGGCCCCGGAGACCCCGGGGGTGTTGAAGCAGGTCCTTGATGCTCCCAGGGGTGGCAATACAAGGGTGGACTTGCCTGGGAAGAGACTCCACAGATGTCTGGAGAAGAATGTAGGTCCGAGGAGGGCCGTGGCCTGGGGCAGGGAGGTAACCTGAACCCAGAACTCTAGAACTCTCTGTGTTCATGTCCACCCGGTGGGGGCTGAGAAGTTGTGGGCCATGGTGTGAGAGCTGTGGGGAAAGGGACTGAGATTTTACTTCAAGACTGCCTCCCGCCACGGGAGGGTTTGGGGACGGAAAGTTATACAATGAGTTTGGGTGTCAGGTCTGAAGTGACTTCAGGCATGCCTGTATTCGATGGGTGTCACGTTGGTGCCAATGGCTTTTGACCACATCTTGTTAGACAGAAACTGGCTGCATAGACAGCTCCAAGTAAGTCTTTTTCCCCTGGGAACCATGTGCCCACTTGTAAGTGTGCTACTAGGAGGATGGGGGTACTGGACATCGAGGGTTGTGCAGTTAACTCTCCCGTATGTGTCCCTTCCTGACCCCACCATTGGCAAGGGCTAGAATGTCATTGCCCCATGGGTCCCTCCTGGAGTCAGGAGCAGCGGGGTCACTCTCCACATGCAGGCGAGTTTCTCACAGGAAGAAAGAAGGGAAGAAATGGATACTTCGTAGGCATCCAGTGACACAGACTGCGGGAACCATCTCTTCACAAGTAAAAAGGTGAAACCAAGAATTCAAGGAGGTTGACCAATGGTCGATCATGACGGACGGGACTGTGGGGGAGGCTGGCACTTCCCCACAGAGAAGAAGAATGAGTGCGTCATCCGAGGTCCAAGGAAACCCTAAAGAAATACTTATTTGGCGGAAGCGAGCGGTGTTCAGATTAGTGCTGGGGTGTGGCTCAGGGGTAGGGTGCTTGCCTAGGTGTCATTCCCAGGGCCGAAAAAACAAACAGGAAACAACAGAGAAACACAGATTAAATCAGATGAGGCCCGAACAGAAGTCTCGGGCCCCACAAATGGGTCAGAAGAGATTTTTGGGGGCCCAGGTTCACACGAGGTCCAGATCTCAGTAGGATGAAGAGTGAACGGGAACTGGAGGGAGAGCCTGCTAGTTGGGCATCTTGTCAAGGAAAGGTCTGGACCCAGGTGGGGAGAGTAGCTTGGGTTCAGGGAAGAAGTTTTTGGTTTATTTCATAGCCTGGGGAAGATGTCAGAATGTTCAGGTTAAAGAGAAGCAGTTGGGAAGACAAGAACAAAATGGGGTAGCTAGCCAGGCATGGTGGTGCATGCCTGTCATCCGGGCAGCTTGGGAGGCTGAGGCAGGAGGATCTCAAGTTCAAGGCCGCCTCAGCAATTTATCGAGGTCCTGTCTCAAAATAAAACATAAAAAGGGCTGGAGATGTGGCTCAGTGGTTAAGCACCCCTGGGTTCAATCCCTGGTACCAAAATAGAAAGAAGGAAAAAAAGGGGGGGTTGCTGGATAAAACAAGGACTTAGGGGGTATAGGATCCAGAGAACAGGTGGACTTTTATAGTGGACAGAAGAAATACCTCAAGTGAAGAGATGGCAAGAATTTCCCTCCTCTAACCTGGCCAGGAAGGGTGGGGAGGTTGGGTGACTAACAAGCGCAGGGGAGTTGGTGCTGGGTCACACCCTCTGCCGAGTGCTTGAGATTCGTGTTTTGTCTAATGCTGAACAAAAACTTTAGAGGTACGTGTTTGGTCCCATTTTGCAGAGGGAGCTGAAGCTTAGTGGTTTGTCAGTAAATGCCTAGTAGCTGACCCTCCACACACAATATGCACTTATACATGCTTGTAAGTGTATTATTAATTTTATAAACAATATACAGCACAAAATTCACAAACAATGGATACACACTGCTTTTATTGTCAATTGGGCACAGCCTATTAATTCTCAGAGAATGCAGTCTTTGATTTTTGCTGGACTCTTGTATTTATAGCTATTTTGTGGTTGCAATGCACAAGAGAATATAGTTCCAATATGAATGTTGGTTGATATTTTAAGTTAATTTGTAAGAAAACAAATAAAAGGATATATTTTGAAGCTTCATTCCTTAATGAATGGAATATTAGAAGAATATTCTCTCAAATTTTCAGAGCTGTTTGTTATGTAAAGGCAACAGACTCCACAAACTTCCAAGTTTCATGGGCACTTTATTTATTTATTCATTTTTTTAATATTTATTATTTTTTAGTTATGGAGGACACAACATCTTTTGTTTGTATGTGGTGCTGAGGATCAAACCCAGGCCGCACGCATGCCAGGCAAGCGCACTACCGCTTGAGCCACATCCTCAGCCCTTCATGGGCACTTTAAACCTGATTTTCCATTGCTTTAAAACAAGATTGTATAGACAATCAACGAAACAATAAGCCAAGCCCAAAGATGTAGCTTCAGTGGCTCTCTATGGTGTTGACACACTGCAGTTGCTTTCAAGGGAGATTCACGGTAACAATGATACATCACCATCAGTATTTCCATCCTATGGGTACCGGGCTAGGGATGTAGCTCAGTGGTGGAGGGCTTGCCTAGCAGGTGCGAGGCTGTGGGTTTGATCCCCAGCACTGAAACAAAAACAAACAAAAACAACAAAAACAACATCACAGAGGTATAGAAGAAATAGGTAACTAAAGGCATAGATAATAGTAAAATGTAAAAATGTGAGCAGGACATGGCAACTTTTCTGGGCTCAATTCTCAATACCAAAAGATAGATAGATAGATAGATAGATAGATAGATAAAACACTTTTGCTTTTAGTATGATTATAGTCTCAAATAATTTAATTTTTATAATAGCTGTATTTAATACCCAACTCACAAAATTTACGAGGATTGGAACACCATTGGTGTTTGAGCAGGTACAGCCAGCTCCAGAGTGGGCCCCTGGACTCAGGGACATTAAGGGAACAGCCCAGGGTCTGGCCTTCCCGTCCTTCCTAAGCACAGGGGCAGGCGAAAGGAGAATAAAAAGAGTGGGAAAGGGGGTGACTGCTAAGGGGAAAGAGATGAGGGAGGAGGGCTGAGCCCTACTGGTGACCCAGCCTGAAGAGGAGAGCTCATGTCCCAGTGGACCCAGGCACTACCTTTGTGAGGCCTCTTAAAAAAAAAAAGCTGGGCACATTGGTGCACACCTGTACACACCTGTACTCCCAACTGCAGGTGGGGGAATCACAAGTTTGAGGCCAGCCTGTGCAACTTAGTGAGATCTTGTGTCAAAATAAAAAGGGCTGGGGATGTAGCTCAGTGATAGAGCACCCCCCTGTTCTACCCCCAGTACTGCCAATAAATAAATGAATAAAATTATGTATCTTACATATTTCTGTGGTCAAGACACCTTAAAGTTAAAGACACACAAAAGACAGGGAGAAAGTAACTAAAAATATAACAAGAGTTAATACCTAACAGAGAACTGCACATAGGGGGGAAAAAAAAAACCAGCTGGAAAAATGGGTGAAGGATACAAGTAGTCAATTCACCAAAGAGGAAATAAAAGGTGCCAGGTTTTTTTTTTTTTTTTTTTTTTTGGCCTATCAGATTGGCAAGAGGGAAGAATGTTAATGATAATCTTGGCAGAGTTGTGGGGAAATGAGCACCTCTGGTCCGTGATGGTGGGGTGTGAGTAGGAATAGCTACTTTTGAGAGCAGTTTAATAGTCTTTATTAAAATAAGGTCCACACCCAATGTGTTGTTAAGAAATTTTACCAAATGGATGAGACACGGTGGCGGGTAATCAGTTCTAGGATAAAGGATTTTTAGATGGATTTATCTGATATGGTTTTTGAAGACAAATTGTTAGGTTTAAAAAAACCAAATTGGGGGCTAGGAATGTGGCTCAAGTGGTAGCGCGCTCGCCTGGCAGGCATGAGGCACTGGGTTCGATCCTCAGCACCACATAAAAATGAAATAAAGAGATTGTGTCCACCTCAAAAATAATAATAATGTGTATGTGTAGTTTCACCAAACAACCTTAAAAAAAAAAACCAAAAAACCCAAATGGTGCCACATTCTACTCCCAGCCCTGACAAAAACATGTTAATATTTGTAAGTAAATTTAGAATGACTGATTTAGAGAAAACTCAGACTGCAATGGCAACAATAAAAACTGAAGTCTTTGCAGGAATCTGTATGGTAAGGGCTTCCCTTCGCCACAATAGATGGACGCAGTACCAACCAGAACCCAGCAAGGGGGCCTTTGCTTCTGCCTTTTCCCCTAGAAGGTTACAATATTATTGTGAAATTCAAGGAATGTAAAAGTGGGTAAGGGCTGAGGCTGTGGGTAAGGGCTGGGGGTGTGGCTGAGGGGTAGAATGCCTGTGGAACATGTCCAAGGTTCCCAGCAGCAACACACACACACACACACAGAGTGAGCAGTTAGCAGGGATGTTAATCAGTATCCTGAAAAAGAAGAGAGCAACCTGAGAGGATAGAAGTCAACTTAGAGGAGGAGCCGTCGGTTCTGGCTCACGGTTGCAGGCTGCATGGCTTGGGCCTGTGGTGAGCCAGAGCCCCGTGGCCGGGTGTGTGGTGGTGCACAACTGTCGGCCACGGCAGCCAGGAAGAGAGAAAGACAGGGGCCAGGGACAAGGTGTGCACCCAAGGACCCATGTCCTCCAACGAGGTTCACCCGCTGCAGTCCCACCACCTCCCAACAATCCATTCAGCTATGAGTCCCGGGAACCAGCCCTCATGTCCAGTCACCTCTGAGCATTGCTGTCCCGGGGAAGAAGCCTTCAACACACGAATCTCTGGGGGACATTTCAGATCCAGCCATAACAGCCAGCAGCATGTGCGCCACAGCAGGGGACTCGTGAGGACCACAGGCAGGTGAGTCCGGGCGCACCGGTCCCTCCCCACACCTAACTGTCCGTGTGTGCCATTTCTCTGCAGGCCCAGGCCTTGTCCTCTGCCAGCAAGTTTGAATCCGAATTAAAAGCTGAGCAAGATGAGCGGAAGCGGGAGGAGGAGAAGAGAAGGCTCCGCCAGGCAGCCTTCCGGGAACTCAAGGCTGCTTTCAGCGCATAGTCCAGCAGACCCTGACCTCCACCCACAGCGGTGCCTCCACGGTGCCAGGAGGGATGGCCCAGCGTCTTTACCCCTGCAGGCCCCTCCAGCCTCCTCCCTGGCCCCAGGCCTCTCCTCAGCCTCACTTGGGTGGCAAGGGGCTGCCGCCCCGCCACTGTTCTGCCCCTGCAAGAGGGTCATGGGATGGCCAAGTCCCCCTTGCTCACCTCTCTGCCCTCCCCTGAAGCCAGGTTCAGCCTTCCCCTTCCCTTGCTCCACGCCAGTGAGTAGCCTTTTGTGCTCATTTGTATAGAAATTCTTTCTTTTGTGGTCCTCAGAGGACATGTTAGCTCGCCATTTTCTTGGGAAATCCTTCTCTCCTCCCATTTCTGTTGTCTTTCTTGGTCAGATTCTGCCAGTTGCTTTCGTGTGGTCTTCTGTAGTGGTGGCAAGATCCAAGGAGGCCAGGTGGACCACTGCCCACCCGCTCTCCAGCATGGGGAGGACTCGACATAAAGACGGGGAGCACTGGCCTGCAGCACCCCCCTGGCCCTCCCTCTTCACTCCCCTGCTCCGTGTCTCCCTCCTTGGGCGGTTCTGTCTTCCACACCTAAGTGCCTGCCACTCACCCGTGAGAAGGAAGGAATCACTAGAAGTACTGCTAATGAGTAGAGGGGTTCCAGGTCCACTCTAACTCTGCAGATCATGTTACAGTGGACCCCTCAGGTTCCCACGAGGTCAGGGACACAACCAGTGCCTTTTGAAATCCCCAAAGTCATGGCCATCCTCTCCATCGAGCCAATTTCCAACATCTGCTTCAAGGTATTGAGGTAAATCTGTTCTTACCCCTATGATAGATTTTTATATTTGTGAGTTCTTGGGATTGCTCACACGGACCAGGGTCTTGTTGTATTTTTTTTAAAAAATATTTCCTATTGTCATATTTATTACTTCTCTTTTGCAACTTCTCTCTTTAGGGTAAAGAAACCATCTGCATTTCTACCTTAAAGCTCTTTCTTTTTAAATAAACTGTGCAAATGAACTTGGCCATCAGAGCAATGTACCTGAGTCTTCTTTGACTTTAGGAGGAAGAAGCATGTGTTCTATGGGGGCCAAGTCCAGCCCTGGGCTTCTGTTGACAGGGATTTCCTGTAGCATAGTTAGGAACCGGAACTGGAGGGAGGGTTTTCACTGGAGGTTCGGGGTACGAGGATTGTCGGCTGCTCTCCCCTGCACCTCCTTCACACCAGCGAGCGTGCTTCCAGCCACTGGTCATATCTCTAGCTTAATCCTTTAGCTTCTAACCCCTTGAAATGCTGACAAGGTCAGTGCCTCTCCCAGGTATGATATCAGGATGCTCAGGCCACGTGTGTAAGGACCCAGGCCTTAAGGGAACACCCTTTGCTCTCCCAGAGGATCAGTCTATTTCTGCACCAACCCATAACCTACCATTCTCAAACATTGTTTTTCTACCTAGGGTCACATTCCAAATCTCTTCATCAGAGGGGAGGGCCCAAAAAGAATAGAGAGGTCCTTAACATGTGATCCAGCTACTGTGCTCCTTCAAATTTACCCAAGGGAGAGAGTGGGGTTTGGTGGTACAGGCCGGTAATCCCAGAAAATTCTAGGGTGGAGACAGGAGGATTACAAATTCAAAGCCAGTCTTGGCAATTTAGCATGACCCTGTTTTAAAATAAAAAATGAAAGGGGCTGGGAATATGGCTGGGTGTGGCAATGTACACCTGTAATCCCCGCAACTGGGGAGGCTGAGGCAGGAGAATCTCTAGTTCAAGACCAGCCTCAGCAACTTAGTGAGACCATAAGCAACTTAGACCCTGTCTCAAAATAAAAATAAATAGATAGATAGGTCTGGGGATGTGGCTCAACGATTAAGCACCCCTGGGTTCAATTTCTGGTACCAAAAAAAAAAAAAAAGTAACATAAAAGGATTTAGGACATATATTGGGTCAGATAACCACAAAAACCAGACGTACACTGCCTTTGTTCCCATCTGGTCATCACATCCTGCCGAAGTTGCTCCCACCTATGGTTCTGTTAGTAGCTATGACTGAAATAACGAACAGAAACAACTTAAAGGAGGAAAAGTATATTTTGGCTCATGGCTTCAGAGGTTCTGTGGTCAATTCCACTGTTCTGGGCCCACAGAGAGCCAGATCATGGCACAAGGCCAGGTTGATGTGCTGCTCCATTCACGGCAGCCAGGAGCATAGAGAGGAAAGGGGCCGGGAAGGGGAACCCTTCTAGCGCCCCCTCTCAGTGCCCCAGCCCCTCCCCGTCTGCCTATGGTTACCACCCAGTCAGTCCCTTCAAACCAGGATGTACGGCTTAGGTTACAGTTCTCGCAATCCAGTCATCTCACCTCCAAATATTCCCGCACGAACCCAGGAGCCTTGGGGGGACACTGCAATGCAAACCGTAACAGGTTCCCGCTTCCACTCCAAGGACAACTCTTCCTGGCTCCTTTCCTGGGTCTCTGCAGGAAACCCAATGTTCTCTACCCTCATTTGCCCTGACTGACCACCTTGCAGTTGGAATCATCTTTATAAAATGCAAATCTCATCCTAACATCTTCTCTTCCATTTTTGATTCCCACTCTTCAGATCTGGGGCCTACTGGCCTTGCCCCGCCTCCTGCTCCTCCCTCTCTCCCTGGGTCCTGGGAACAGGGACTGTACAGCCAGCTTAGGCAACGCACAGCAGCTCCTGGAAGGTGCCACCCCCTCAGCCCCTGCACATGCTGCTTCCTCTGATTGACACTCCCTCCCTCTCTCCTCCTCCCTCCCATGGCAAACTACTCCTGAGAGTATCATCAGGAAGCCCTCGTGGTGCCCCCATGCTGGACAAGGAGCCCCGTCCAGGGTTCCCATTTCCCCTTGAGATGGTCTCTCTTGCGATCCTACAGCAGCATTCGGTATCCCGCTCCTGACTCCTCTGCCTTCTTGTTTGAACCATGAACTCTTCTGTGGACGTGAGCTTGGCCTTGCCCACTGCCAGAGGCCTAGCGTGTTGCCTGGCATGTCACAGTCCCTGCATGTTGATGTCACAAGAATGTGATGGGATTTTTCAGCAGAGAGGGATGGGAAAGGCGAGATTCCTGACCACTGGTGTCAGAAAGCTTATTTTTTAAATTTATTTTTGTGGAACGGAGAAGTTAAGCCAGGGGTGCTCTGTCACTGAGCTATATCCCCACCCCTTTTTATTTTTTTATTTTGAGACCCGGCATATGATCAGTGCTCAGTACACATGGATCTCCTTTCTATCCACCACTCTCTCTTTCCGTCCAAGCTATAGTGACCCAGAAATGTCCAGTCCTGGATGCTGTCTTGACCCCAAGGGCAGATGTCCACTTACCTAGTTTTTTGGGGCTCTTTGCTAACCAGCCCAGGGAGACTCCTACCCTGTGTCTGCTCACCTGCCGTGATCCTGCAGCTGGCAATTGCTGACCTCGCTGGGCCTGATCATGGGAACTGGTGCTTTTGACCTTGTCTCCTTGCTGTCCACCAGGCCAGATTTTGGCCCACTTCTGCCCACCTGGCCAATGGTTCCAGAGATATTCTCTGGGTCCTGTAATGGCCATGGGGTCCTCAGGGGCCCATTCAGGGTTCTCCAGCCTGAGGAGGTATGGAGGATGGAAACTCATTAAGGGCTTTCCTCCAGTGTTGTCAGAAACCAGTCACTTTTGTGGTACTGGGGATTGAACCCAGGGCACACCATGCTGAACTCTATCTCCAGCTCCCCCAATTTTTTAAAATTTTTAAATATTTTATTTTTTTTAGTTTTCAGTGGACACAACATCTTTATTTGTATGTGGTGCTGAGGATCAAACCCAGCGCCATGCACGCCAGGCGAGCGCGCTACCACTTGAGCCACTTCCCCAGACCATAAATATATATATTTATTTTAGTTGGTGCTGAGACTCGAACCCAGGGCTTCACATATGCTAGGCAAGTGCTCTACCGCTGAGCCACAACCCCAGCCCCATCTCCAGCCCTTTTTAACCTACGTTGCCCAAGCTAACCTAGAACTTGTAATCTTCCTGCTTCAGCCTCCTGCGTAGCTAAAATTATAGGTGTGTACCACAGCCCCTGACCTGCTGTTGCCTTTTTGAAGGGCAATTTGGTGGACCATTAACATTAAAAAGTATATCTGTAAGCCAGGCATGATGGCACATGCCTGAACCCTGTTCCTAGAGGCTGAGGCAGGAGGATGGAAGTTTAAGACCAGACTGGGCAACTTAGCAAGACTGTCTCAAAATAAAAATTTACTAAAGGGCTAGGGATATAACTCAGTGGCAGAGTGCTTGCCTAGCATGTATGTGCAAGGCCTAGGGATCAATCCCTAGTACTAACAAAATCAAAAACAAATTGTATCTGTATTAGTTACTTATTTTTGCACTAACAATTCACCTAATGACTTAGTTACTTAAAATAATAATTAACACGTATTGTCTCACACAATTTCTGAGGGTCAGGAATTCAGAAGTAGTTTAACTTGGGTGGGTCTGGCTCGGGGTCTCTCATGGGGCTGCCATCATCCCAGGGCTTCACTGGGGCTGGAGAGCGACTGACTTCCAAGTTGATTCAGTCACAGGATTTGCAAGTTAGTGCCGGCTGTTGGCAAGAGGCCTCAGTTGCCTGCCACGCCACACTCTCCAGGGGGCCGCTTTGTGTCCTCACACCATGGCAGCTGCCTTCCCCCAGAGCAAGTGCTACTGAAGCCAGATTTGAGGATAGGTAGTTAGTGAGGCTAGGTAAATCGGGTCTAATACCGAGTAAGATGAATACAATGGAGGCCATTATAGAGAAGGGAGTCCAGGAAAGCAGAGCAGCACTTGGGAAATTGAAATGTTACTGTGCCCAGGGCTGGAACCATCCTAAGGAACTCTTAATGAAACAGCTCCCAGCCAACAGGGAGGGAAGTGCTAATCCAAAGCCATCCCAGGCCCTTCCTGCCCAGAGGACTCCTCCAGCCACCTAGCCCCCACCTTGTGGGCCTTCCCAGCTGCATTCCATCACTGCAGGACAGAGGGCAACAAAGGACAGGAGTGTGGGAGGACTAAAAGTGACCTTAGCTGTGAGAAAGGGAAGACCTCCCCCTTCCACGGATTCTGCCTTGTGGTCCCCTTCTCCCTCCAGGGAGAAGTCTTCTCTGCTGTCCTTTAATAAAGCGTCCACCGTCCACTCTCCCCTGGCCTCCGCGGGCTTCTCTGGTGTCATACTTCAGCATTCGGGGAAGCGAGGACTCGTCACCGGTCAACAGTGGTGACACTACAAGAGAGATGAACGCGTAGGCCACAGTGTCCTTAATCACACTTGCGGGTTGCATAGGTCAGCGTTCTTGGCACGAATCACTGGGAGCCATCTTGGAGCTGACCACCACAGAATCCATCAGGGCCCTTACACAACAGTCACATAATCGAAGGCAGACTGACGTAAGCAGAAGAGGGACTGACTGAAGACACACCGAGGAGCTCCCAGACTCGCTAGCAGGGCTGGGGGCCGACCTAAGCAAGCAGGCAGGAGGCCAGCTGACGGGTGGCCAGAAAGCCCGTCTTGGGAGCCAGCCAGGGGTGGTGCTGCTGCCCTGGCTGGCCAGAGCTCTGCGGTGTCCTGCTTCTTCAGGTCGTTTGTTCCAGATTCAGCTTCAGGCGAGTCCAGTCACATGGCCCTGTGTGGGGGGTGGGGGTGGGGCAGGAAGGTGTACCATCTCCATCTTGTGTTTTCTGTGAAAGGAGGTAGGTCCTGCCTCTCACCAAGATTCGCATTTCCCCAAACCTGGGAAAGTATTTCAAGTGCAGACCAGTCGTGAAAAACAGCAGATGTTCACTGTTTTGACTTTGGAATTTGTCCTATAGGTAAATATAAATATGAAAAAAGATGAATTTGAGGGACTACTCATGACAGTGTTGTTAGCCACAGCTAAAATGTGGTAATAATCAGAACGACTATCAGCATGGGATGGGTTAAAGCCACCATGGTACAGACACCTAAATATGCAGAGCTGGGTAGCCATTAAAACAAAATGTGAGCTGGG